GGGGAAAGTGTGTGTGCCGAACTGATGGGAGTTCTCCCGGATTGAGTGAGGAAGGTTCATACCTAAAACACTTAGAATGGTGCCTGGCATGTTGTGAGCGCCCAGGAAATGTTAGGTGTCGTTATTTTGTGTGCAGGCAGAACACAAGTCCAGTGTCAGCGACACGTCACAAGGGATGGCAATACATTTATCAAGAGGGCACCGTTCGGGATTTTTAAGCTCTATTTCAGCCTGCAAAACTACAAATCTGCCTAGATTTCTAAGATACTTCTGTGCAAAGAGAAACGCTGTGTGGTAATTGAATCTCTTTAGACTGGTTTCCTATCGTGCTCAAGCAAAAACCAGCAGCAGTCCTGAGGCTCCAAAACCAACCTCAAAACAGAAGAGCATTAGCTTCGAAGCCAGCAGGACCCTCTTCCTTTCTTGATGCCAAAGCCCCAATTGTTTTCCCAGGTGAATCTGATTTAGTTAGCAATTTAAAGGAAAGCAGCACTTCCTTCTGGCAATTGTCCTTTTTATTTCTGCCGGGCCTCTGAGAGACTCCTTGTACAGCCTGCAAGAACATTCTGAAAGTGAAAATGAATTCTGAGGAAAAGGCTGTGCCCAACAGCATTACCCGTCGTGTTAAAAGCCATTCTGGATTGTTCTGGAGCTGATGGATGAGCAGACTGTGGATTCTTCCCCCAGCACTTCCCATCTCTGTATATTCGAGATGTTCTGAATGTTTATTTCTAAACATGTACCCTTTTGGGTACATAATAATTGTACTTGAAAAATTAATGCTTATTAAGAACTTTTTGGTTTAGCCTATCACTGAGCTGAGCAGTACAAATATTTCAGCTTAATTAATGTTCTCTGTGCTGCTTCCAAGAGAGAATGGAATGCTGGAAAAGAAAGTCCTAAAAAGCCCTCTGGTTAGCAGTGGACTAGAAGGTGTGTCCAGCTACTCTAAGGGATAGAAAGCAGGGCACCCCGACATTAGGACTGAGCAATGCATCAGGGCAGGAACACATCTAAATAGTTTAAAATTTTCAAAAGAGGTGAAGCAAGAACAGATACAGCAGAGACCGGTTAAAAATTCTAAGCAAGATCGGATGGGAAGTCCATTCAAGACTTACATACTGAGTGCCTGGCACTGTTCTAAGCCTAGAGATATAACACTGCACAGAACAAGTTCTGGTCCTTGTGGAGCTTACATTCTAGGGGTGTTCACAGAATTGTTCATAGAAACATACTGAGAAAATATGTGATGTAAGATAGTGGTAGGTTCTAGGACATAAATAAAGCCATAAGGGAGTAGATAGTCACAGGGTAGCCTCTGAGATAGTGAGGTTTGAACAAGACCTGTTGGGGTTTATGTGAAGGAGATGCCATGTGGTTATGTAGCAGAAGGCGTATCCAGCAAGGGCCATAGCAAGTGCAAAGGCCCTGAGGCAGGATGGCATTTGGCCACTAAGCAGGAGTATAGTAAGCAAGGGGATGCTGGTAGGAGGGGAAATAGAGGGGGAGTCAAGTGTCAGACTATGCAGATCAATCCAGCAGTCAATTTAGGTATTAAGCCCTTCCTAGGTTTGGATCATTTGCATATTCTAATCATCATAAAACTTCTTGAGGTGGGTCTGATTACTCCCTTTTAGCAGTACCTAAAGCCACTCCAGTAAACTGTAGAGGTCTGGGCTTCTAGAACATGCAAGTTCATCAAGGTGATGGTCTCTCCCGGTTTGCTGGTGACGAACATTCTCTCTGTCCATAGATCAGAATATATTCCTAGAGCACAGAAATAGATTTTAAATGCAATGGGGTATTATTTATCAGCTTCATTATTTTAAAATACTTGCCATAACCTTTCCTTATACTTGGGCAAGCTCTGATTCTGAATGGTGTTTTCAGCAGCTAGGCCTTAACATGCATTCTGCAGCGGCTTTCTTTCTTTCAAATAGTGCTGAAAATAACTCAAAGCACAGCTATACTAATAGGGAAAGATGAATAGAAATTTAGCAATAGGTCAATAGCCCATGATCTCTGGATTCCATTTTATACAGCAGAGCTATCTTTCCCCATTCGAGCCATGATATTAAGTTCTAATTTCATTGCACTGAAAAAAAAAAATGCAGGTATTAAGTTAGTTGCTAGGGAGTTCTGGGATCATTTTTCCAATGAAATGAAGTTATAAATCTAAAGATATGTTATAATAAAAATAGAATTCAAAGACTAAAAGCTATGCAATAACAGTAACAAAATAAACAAACCTGCTCTGGTTCAAATTAAGCAGGAATACAATATAAGTTGAACTGAATTTCCTACATCTGTATTACCTTCAGAGCAAGTGAGAAGATTGAATAAGACTATGTCTTTATTTTATCTATAGATGGGCCTATAAGTAGGACACGGTAAAAATCAGTTTAAGATAACAGTGATTCAATCTATTCAAAAGAACCGAGGAGCTTGCTTTTGGAGGCATGCCCAGATTCCCTACTGAGTCTTGTCCTGCATAGAAAGTAACAGAAATTCATTTTCTAAATCTAGTTTGGGCCCCTTCTGCACTTTTCCATTAGAAAGCTACGTCTTGCTTTTCACGTAGGATCTGCTGGGTTGAGAGGAGTATGACCTCCCCTCCTGGCCGTGGCGTGTGCTTGTCCACTGGCAGCAGTGTTTTCTGAGAAGCAGGAGTCACTGGTGAAAATGCCATGTTGCCTAGTGTGCTCAAGGCTCCCATTCCACCAGATACTGTGAAGTTTGTTCATACCAACTGTGAAAAAACAATGGACAGCCCTATGCTGTTAGTGACTTAGCAGGTCACCGAACAAGTGCCGAGTCATAGGGCACCGGCAGAGCTATGGCTCAAATGTCCAGAGTTTGAGGCAGGGGAACTCACCATTCCAGCATGGGTGCTTTTGGAAATCTGTGTCCCAGAGGTCCCATGTTTGCACCAACGGAAACCTGTGGTGGTTGACACCGCCGAGGGACACAACTCAGCGGTATGCTCTGCCCTGGGTGCCTCGGCCTTACCAGAGCTGCTCATGGCTAAGGGCCACCATATCGAGGAAGTTCCTGAACTTCCTTTGGTGGCTGAAGATGAAGTTGAAGGCTACAAGAAGAGCAAGGACACTTTGCTGCTTCTTAAGAAACTTAAGGCTTGGAACAATATCAAAAAGTTCTGTGTATCTCAACAAATGAGATCTGGAAAGGGCAGAATGAGAAACCATTGTCATATCCAGCATGGGGGGCCCTGCATCATCTATACTGAAGACAGTGTAGACCCAGGACCTCAGAAATATTCCTCGAATTACTCTACTTAATGTAAGCAAACTGAACATTTTGACACTTGTTCCTGGAGGGCATGGGACATCTCCACATTTGGACTGAAAGTGCTTTCCCCAAGTTGGATGGTCTGTATGGCACTTGGTGAAGGCTTCCTCCCTCAAGAGTAACTAGATGTTTGATACGCACCTTAGCAGAATCTTGAAAAGCCCAGAGATCCAAAGAGCTCTCCGAGCACCACACAGGAAGAGTCACCAAGAGTCCTGAGGAGGAATCCACCGAAGGACCTGAGAATCATGCTGAAGATAAACCCAAATGCAAAGACCATGTGCCGGAATACCATTCTCTGCCAGGCCAGGTGTCACAAAGTCCGGATGGATGAGGCAGCAGCCGCACTAGAAGCCAAATCAGACGAGAAGAGGGTTCCACGCAAGCAGCGTGTGGCAGGGAATAAAGGAAAGAACCCTCTTGGTATTAAGGAACAGAAGAAACCTTTCGTGGGAAAAGAGCTGCAACTACCAAGAACCCGGCAGCCTGAGAAGAAGCCTCGAAAAAGAAACCCACCATGGAAGAAAAGAAGCCTGATGCATAAATTTACATTTGTGTCTTCGGTATATGTTGAATCATTTGGGGCAGCTAGGTTTTTTTTTTTTTTTTAATTTTTTAATGTTTATTTATTTTTGAGAGAGAGAGAGACAGAACATGAGTGCAGGAGGGGCAGAGAGAGAGGGAGACACAGAATCTGAATGAGGCTCCAGGCTCTGAGCTGTCAGCACAGAGCCTGACGTGGGGCTTGAACTCACAAGCCATGAGATCATGACCTGAGCTGAAGTCTGACACCTAACTGAGTAAGTCACCCAGGTGCCCCTGGGTAGCTAATTTTGAATAAAGACCTGATCAAGGGCAGTGAGAAAAAAAGGGAGAAAAGAAGCTTCTTGGCCAACTTTATCGTAATTGATCACTTTATTGCCTGCTATGATAATCTAGAGCTCATCTGATGGTGTTAATGTCCCAGAATAAGTAGGAAACTTTTCTATTCCTTGCTTGATGAATTAGTTTGCTAGGGCTGCCATAAGAAGGTACCACAGACTGGGTGTCATAAATAACAGAAATTGATCGCCTCACAGTTCTGGAAGCTGGTAGTCTGAGATCAAGGTGTTGACTAGGATAGTTCCTTCTGAGAGCTGTGAGGAAGAATCTGTTCCATGCCTCTATCTAGCCTCTGGCGGCTTTCTGCCAATCTTCGGGACTCCACAGCTTGTAGATGCATCACCCAATCTCTTCTCTTCATCTTCACATGGCATTCTCCCTGTATGTGTGCTTATCTCTATGTCCCAATTTCCTCTCTTTATAAGGACATGGCCATATTGGATCTGGCCCACCCTGATGAACTCATCTTAACTTGATCATCTGCAAAGTCCCTATTTCCAAATAAGGTCACATTCACAGGCTTTAGGGCTTAGGACTTTAACGTTTTTGTGGGAGTGCAAAGGGAATACAATTCAGCTCATAACTCTAGTGTAGAAGAAGTTTAATTTAAAAACTCTCCCTCTGTTGGATCCCTTTGGATAGTCTTAAGGATTTCATCTAAGGACAGGATGATCCTTAGAGTAAACAAGTCATCTCTTTGTGCAGACATGGCATTGTCAGACCGATCCCTCCTTCATTTGTGTGTGCGTATGTGTTTGTCTGATGTTTGGTCAGAGCATCCTACCTAATAACAATCCTTTTGCTAACAGGGCAAACTTGGAGATCACCTATGCCAAAGGACTTCAGAAACTAGCAATGAAGTTAAGCAAAGCATTACAGAGCACCAAAAAAAAGTAAGTATATGAAAGAGATAAGGCAAAAAAGTTGTTAAAAGCTATAAAAAATGACATATGTCCGATCCCAGCTTCCTCTTATAAATGTGGAGGAATGTCAAGCACGGCTTACAGTTCTCGGGCACTTCCTATGTGTCAGGCCCTGCACTACATGCTTTTATAGATTCTCTTCAATCCTCATGTCAATCCTCGGCAAGCCCTCTTATTGTCTCTGTTACAGACAAGGTATTGAAGCTTGGAAAGTTTAAGAAACTTGCCCCAATTACACAGGTATTAAGTGACAGTACTGGATTAATCCTGTGTCCTTATGATACCTACACCCATATTCATAATAAGCCTCAGTGATGACATGTTACTTTGGAAGCAGTGTCATTGAGTTGGAAGGTCTTGAAGTCAAGAAGTGTGAATCCCACTTTATCTCAACTCTGTGACCTCTAGGAGTAACCTGGCCTCTCTGTGCCTTGTTTTCCTCCACTGTTAGATGGAGTAATGGTATGTGCTTCATTGTGCGTATGTGTGTATGTTTACGTCCAGGGGAGGTGTATATTATGTGATCTCATGTATGTAGAGATGAGCTTATTGGATCCTGAAAAACTAGTGGTTAGTACATTTCAGAATGAACTTGATATTTTCTTTTAGGGGAGAGAAGAGGGATATTGGATATTCTAAAAGATATTCTAAAAATGGTCCATCAGTTATAATTTATTACAAAGATTCTTGGCCAATTCTTGCAGACGTCATCTTAAACTGGCAGTATCATTGCAAAGACCACTTTTGATGGTGAAAGAGGGAGGGAAGGAAAAAAGGAGCTTTGTGGAGCTCGCATTCCTAGTCCTCCTTACTCATCCTCTGTAATAGCAAATAATGGCTTTGAAATTGTTTGACTTTGAGCTCGATTTTTAGGATAGTATTTTAGTAGACTGCAAAGGAGCCAGTAGTGCAGAATGGTTGAGTATAGACTTTATTTAAACTGCCCAGATTTAAATTCTACCTCCACCCCTCATCAAGTGGGTGAATTAGGGAATTGGGGCAATTTATTTTACCTCTCAGTGTATATTTAAAATGGAAATAGAACCTATCTCATATAGTTGCTGTGAGGATTAAATGAGATAATATAAGAAGTGTGTTTACGTATAGGAGGATTAAGAGGAACTTGACGGAGGAACAAGGGGGAGAAGAAGGGCAGAAATGGTGGGGGAAAGGGAGAGAGGCAAACCATGAGAGACTCTTGAATGCTGACAAAAACTGAGGCCTGATGGATGTGGGGGGGAGGGGGGATGGGCATGGAGGAGGGCACTTGTGGGGATGAGCACTGAGTGTTATGTGGAAACTAATTTGACAATAAACTATTTGTAAAAAAAAAAAAAAACTAAGTAAATTAAAATTTAGTAAGATAAAAAAAAAAAAGAAGTGTGTTTAATACCTGGCACAGATGAAAAGCTCCAAAAGTGTCCATTATGATTTTGATTCTAATTGCCTCCTAAAGAATGAGAGGTGTAGGGGTGTGGGGGGGAGGGGGTGTCTTGTTGTGTTGTAATCCTAGCATCCAGCATAGGTGCTCCTGAAGAAGTGCATGTCCAGAATGTTTGATTAACCAGGATTAGTACAACAATATTTAATAATAAACATTGATTAATTAATAAACTTTTATCTATACCAAAATCTGTCTTAGCTGCTTGGATAGATAGCTTGAATTATTTATATTTTAAAAGACAAATTAAGTGAGGGTCTGGAAAATCATGTGATCTTTTCAAGGTCAAAGACACAGACCCCTCTGAGGCCAAGGCTCTAGGCTTCCTGCTCTGCTGCTCACCTTTTCTGAGGATCAAACATCAGCTTCTCTTCCCCAAAGGGTGCCTGAGTTCCTTTCATTTATTTATTTATTTATTTACTTATTTACTTACTTATTTACTTACATACTTTTTAAGTTTATTTATTTATTTTGAGAGAGAGAGAGAGAGAGAGAGAGAGAGAGAGAGAGAATCCCAAGAAGGCTCCTTGCTGTCAGCAAGGATCCCAACATGGATGAAGCTCACTAACCATGAGATCATGACCCAAGCCAAAATCAAGAGTCGGATGCTCAACTGACTGAGCCACACAGGCACCCCATGGGTTCCTTTTTAAAAAGTCAATGTGGGGCACCTGGATGGCTCAGTGGGTTGAGCAACCGATTTCAGCTCAGGTCATAATTTCACAGTCTTCAAGCCCTGCATCTGGCTCTGTGCTGACACCTTGGAGCCAGGAGCCTGATTCAGATTCTTCTCTCTGCCCCTCTCCCACTCATACTTTGTCTCTCTTGCTCTCAAAAATAAATAAGCCTTAAAATAAATAAATAAATAAATAAATAAATAAATAAATAAATAATTAGCTCTATTGAAGTTTAATTTACATGCAATAACAAGCACCCATTCTAAATTAATGGTTTGGTTGATTTTGATATATGTATACACTACGGACTACCACCAAAATAAAAACATAGGCATTTTCATCCCATCAAAAAATTACCTGTTTGCAATCTTTTGCCCCACTTAAACAACCATTGATCTGCTTCTTATCAATACAGATTCATTTTCTGTTTCCTGCAATTTCCTATAACTGGAAATCTATAGTAGGTAGTCTCTTGTCTCTGGTTTTGTGTCTGGCTCTGGATATGCAGAAAATCTGGCATCCTCTGGTGTAACTCTCCAATTCTCTGACTACAGGCTGCAACCTAAGTCATTTGGAGGTAAAACCTCTGCACCAACCTGACTTCAGTAGAGGCACAGGTCTGTCCTCTCCCCACTCTGGCCTCTGTCCCTGAGCTATATTGATGCAATCAAGGTAATCTGACTTCTGAAGGCCAAGGTTATGGGATACTGTGAGCTATGCCCCTTCTGTGGGAGAAAATAACATCACACTTGTTAACCCTCCCCCTGTGCCCTTAGGGAGAGTGTCTTCATTAAATGGAGACACTGCTTACAAGACACAAAATATCTGAGCTGTTGTCCTAAAAGCCAGCAGGAAGCAGGAGCTGGACCTTAACCCCAAGAGCAGTACATGGATGTCCCAGGGCTCTCGGGTCCTTCACCACTTCACTTTTCTGAGCCTAGTTCCGGCTTATTCATTTGTGAGATAAGAACCCTGAAAAGATGGTCTTTAGGCTCTCCTCCCCTACCTACCATGTGATCTCCCACCTGTTCTAAATGCCTTCTCACCCTTGGCTACATTATTTTCCTGACTTTCTATAGACATGAAATGGAAAATCAAAATTGAAATGAAAAATGATGGGAAAAAAAGCTGTATATGTAATGACTATAGTGCAAATCAGTAAGTTGGCAGAATTTAACCCCATGGACAAATTGAAGTAAGATTAGGGAAATGAGTGCAATTGCTGAATGCAGTGACTCAGACGGGATGCTGTATTTCTCAGATGTTACCGGGAAAATGACACCCACTCTGTGCTCCCCTGTTTTTGCCTCCAGCTGTCTCGTCAGTGCCTGGGCCTGGGTCTCGGAGGGCATGAAATCTGCCGCGGACCTGCATCAGTGAGTGCACCCACCCCAGCTCACTCCAACCCCAAGGGAGGCATAAATATTTAAAGTGGGTGTGCTACAAATAGTCTGTTTCAAACTTGCCCTGAACGACAGACTGGAACACACCATTTTATTTCCCCAGAAAATAATTTGGAAAGTAGATATAAGTCCTAATACTGTGTTTGTGTGTTTTTTATGTTCTATTTCCAGAAAACTTGGCAAAGCAATCGAGTTGGAAGCAATAAAACCAACTCATCAAGTCCTGAGCGTACATGAAAAGAAGAGAAAATCAGTGAGTCAAATCTATCTTAAAGCAAGATTTGTGTCTTTGACCCTAGGAACAAACAGTGATTGAAAGTGATGCTAAGTTTCAGGAATTTGTCAGGAAAAGAAACACAAACTCAAGATTTCTCTATGAAGATGTTTGTTAAAGCATTGTTTATAACAATGAAAAACTAGAAATGTCTTTACCATCCTAAAATAAAGTATGATAATTTGAAGTAATGGCATATTAATCAAGCATTAAAAATCTTATTATAGAAGAATTTAATGACATGGAAATTTTTTCACTATGTAGTATTCAATAAAAATTTGATCTCAGTTTTGTAAAGTATTTGTAAATATATTCATACATGAATAGAAAAAATTCCGGAAGAACCTCCTAAGAATATTAATAAGAATTATATCTAAATAGTGGAATTCAAGGTTATTTTCAACTCATTTTTTGGTGCTTTTTGTATTTACATTGCTTTTCAATGAACAGACATTCCTTTTGTAAATGGAAAAATTATAAACGCAATTTTTTTTTTTACAAATAGTTTATTGTCAAATTAGTTTCCACATAACACTCAGTGCTCATCCCCACAAGTGCCCTCCTCCATGTCCATCCCCTCCTCCCCCCCACATCCATCAGTCCTCAGTTTTTGTCAGCATTCAAGAGTCTCTCATGGTTTGCCTCTCTCCCTTTCCCCCACCATTTCTGCCCTTCTTCTCCCCCTTGTTCCTCCGTCAAGTTCCTCCTAATCCTCCTATACGTGCAAACATATGATATTTGTCCTTCTCTGCCTGACTTATTTCGCTCAGCATAACACCCTCAAGGTCCATCCATGTTGCTACACATGGCCAGATTTCATTGTTTCTCATTGCCATGTAGTATTCCATGGTATAGATAAACCACATCTTCTTGATCCATTCATCTGTTGATGGACACTTAGGCTCTTTCCATTATAAACGCAATTTTTAATAAGACAGGCTTTTCTGTGCTTAACAGCTTGGGATTAGGTAAAGGCAATAATAGGTATAGTCCTCATATAACCTTAAAATTAGAAATAATAAAAAGGAGAGAGAACAACTAAATTCTTTCAGGGCACCTGGTCCTCTTGTATAGTGTTTTCTCTAGTCTTCCTGTGTACCTTTCCTTCCAGAACAGTTTCATCTGTGATTCTTTTTTGTTTTCTTTTTTTTCTTAAACTTATTTTTGAGAGAGAAAGAAACAGAGCATGAGCAGAGGAGGAGCAGAGAGAGAGGGAGAAACAGAATCCAAAACGGGCTCCAGGCTCTGAGCTGTCAGCACAGAGCTTGATGCAGGGCTTGAACTCGTGAACCACGAGAGATCATGACCTGAGCCGGGGTCGGCTGCTTAACTGACTTAGCCACCCAGGTGCCCCTCTTTTTCATTTTCTTTGTGTGTCAGACAGTTTTTAAGTACTTTAACATATATTTTCAGGTGATGTGAAGGGGTATTTTATAAATGCTGCTTAGCTCTGACAGGGGTGAGGTCATGGTCACTTGTTTGTTTCCAGGCCAGATGCAGGTAAGAGGCAGTGATAGAGATCCTTGTGAAGGAAAGAGGTGATGGCAAGGGAGAGTTTCAAGTGACCTCAGCCCAATAGAGCAGGTCCTAAAGGTAATGTTAGTAAGATGAGGGAATTTGTAAAAGCCCTGATGGAAGAGCAATGATCCAAAAACATTTTTATTCAAATTTGTTAAACTGAGTCAGGAAATGGATTGATGTTTGTGTGAACCTATGTGTGTTTTTACCAGAATGGATGTTCTACCGAGGGCTGGGGTGATGGGGGAAATTTACAGTAATTACTACAAAGTAATATAATCTTCCACCTTTGCAAACCAACTTAATAAAAACTGAATACCAGTCTATATTTCATTAATTACAAAATATTTCTCATATCCCGTATTTATATGATAATCACTGGCATTTCCTTAGTACTTACCGTAAATTAGGCACAGCAACATTCTCATTATTATCACAGTGCTTTGGATAATTCATTCCATGATCCCCAAACTGCTGGTCCAGTTCGAAGTCGGCATTTCGGCCCTGCTTCTCCTCACTGCACCCCCACCATCCCACTCACTCTCTCACAGAAGATGAAAGATGAGCATTTTTTTTAGTGAACTTGTTCCACATTTCACATAGAGTCAAAAGTGACATAATACACAAAATTATTTTCATCGTATTTGTTACATAAATTGTATATTCCAAATTTAATCAGCTGGAAAAAATAAAAGTGCAATGTTTCTAGGTCTCAGTGTGGTTGAGTGACAGCTGATCTGTGGGCCTGCAAAAAAAAGTCGATGGTCAAGGAAAAATAAGTTTTGCCTTCACTGAAGTCTGATCTCCTTGGGGCATTGGCCAGGTGCATTTTTATCATTATTATTATTGTCCTTTTGGCTGTTGAAAAGCAGGAGAAAAGTTAGTTATGATTAAGAAATCAGTCTCTTTGAGGGGCACCTGGGTGGCTCCGTTGAGTATCTGACTCCTGATTTGGGCTCAGGTTATGATCCCAGGGTCAAGGGATGGAGTCCCAGGTGGGGCTGTGCACTGAATGTGAAGACTGCTTATGATTCTCTCTCTCTCTGCCCCTCTCCCCCACTTGTGCATGCTTGTGCACGCGCTCTCTCTGTCTCTCAAATAAAAAAAATTTTTTTTAAGTTTTTTAAAGAATTTAATCTCTTTACAATTAAAACAGTATTCATTTCAGGGGCAATGAGACACTTAGTGAAATTAGTACTGCCAGGACCATTACAGACTGTCATGGTGCTAGAAGTTGGGTCATGTGAAATGATGTGGAAGAACCAATGGGAGCAAATGTGACATCAGATTCTGCAAGACCCCCTCCACACAGATTGTACACTTTTATGTTGTTTCTACAAGTTTTTATATAGTTACATTGTTTACTCAAAAATCATTATTTTACCAAATGCACTCAAGTTAAGTCCCGTCAAGAGATTTTTGTCACGGGGAAAAGATAGTTTGGCTACTTTCTTCAGGATTTTGAAATTCCTATGAATTGTGATTGTGATCGTGCCAGAATTTATAAATCAGCACATGACCTGGCAAAAAGAGAGGGAAAAAAATTCGCTTTTCTTTTTTTCTGTTCATAGCTTGATAATGAAGTTGAAAAGGCAGCAAATCTTGTCATTAGCAACTGGAATCAACAAATCAAGGCAAGTATACATACAAATGTCTTTTATGTGAACTCAGTTTTTAGGATTGAACCTTTTTGCCTATGCACGAATGTGATCATGTGTTTTAGTGTTAGTCTTTCTCAAGGCTAACTGATTTGAAACATGTTTCTTCACCTGAGTTATTAAATAGATACATCTTTCAGCTAATCCAACAGAAAAGTAGGGGTCTAAATATGGTTATTATTTCTAGCTAATAGACATAGCATTTGTTGTATGTCACATGCTATATATTTATATTTAGTCATCACAAACCCCCCCCCCAAAAAAAAACCAACCCAATGTGGACTGTGACCTGTATTTTTCCATTTGACAGATGGGTGGGGAAACTGAGGCACAGAGAAGTAAATCATTTGCCTACATCTGGTTAATGGTTGACCAAGAATTTTACAAGTCATTGTATTATCCATTACACTACACTGCTATTATCCATTACGCTACACTGACTGCCTCTCTTTATAATCTGTAACTTAGGGCAAGTGACAAATACTATCTGAGTTTTGGATTTATCATTCATAGAAGGGCGTTTGTGATCTCTGTCTCACTAGTGACAGGAGTACCGTGCGGGGTGGGTAGCAATGTGTAAAGAGGAACACATATATCGATTCCACAAATATGTATCGTCCACTTCTTGTAGTCCACACTGTACTAAAATATGGTTCCTATTTTCAAGTAATTTAAAATGTAGTTGGCTAGATAACATATGTGCAGGAAACAGTAAATGAATTCTAGGCAGAGGAATTATGATCTGGTGTGAGAATATAGAGCATATCATTATAGGTTCTCAGGCAGAGAGAATAACAGATGGAACCCATACATATGTACAGAAGATAATTCTAGAATAATCTGGTTTAGGAGGAATTCAAGTAGAAAGAACTAGAAACCAGTGCAGAGGGAATCTGCTAAGAAAACCCAGTGATCCATTATATGAGAACTTGTGCTTCCAAAGCTGAACTCTTTTTTCATCTCCAAAGAGAACTTTCCCCAGTAGACAGATGCTAGTGGCAAATGACTAGAGAGGCCCTCAAAAATAAGGCAGCCCCAACTCACCCCTCAGGGTTGCCTTTGAAGCTCCTGCTGAAACCAATGACTCCATAAGACTAAGGACATTAAGAAATGTTTGAGCAAAATGAATTTCTATACCCACAGTAGATGCTCATGAGAATCACTTTTATAATAAATGTTTAAAAGTCTTATAATCAGCATCCAGTCATGTGTTTTTAGTTTTGCTCTTGATTTTATGAGCTTTCTTAAACAGACTTTGTGTTTAAAACTCCATTCTCTAAATATTCAGCTTTCACAGGAAACTCAATATAACGAACCCAAAGAGAGAAACCGGGTTCAGCAGCTGTAATTGCTGTCAAGAACAAAAGAAGCATCTTTTATTCTTTCCCAGTTTCCAGCAAGTAATTTTTCTAAATAAAATGATTTTATTTTTTTATGAAGAGTGACAGAGAAATTAGGGAACATAAAATTCTTGAGCTCAAATAATTTTCTCCCCAGCTACAATCAAAGGGTTTCCGCATGTAATGGAGGTGCCATCTATTTGGGAGATGGAAGTGGAAGCCTTAAAGGACCAAATGCTCTTCCCTCACGCTCTCATTTTTCCACTGGCATGTGACTGACTGGAGGCAGAGAGAGAGGGGCAGTGGCTTCCTGTTCCTTGAATTCCCTTTTGCGGAGCCTTCATAGGTTTAGAAACATTCCGAAGGTCTTGCCTCTCTTTAGAGAGAGGGAACTGAACTTTTCCCTTCATTACCTGGTTTTTGCAGTCCTTGCAACCGTAGGTGAAAAACTAAACTGTCTTCCAATCAACCCAGTTGCTGAGCAGGCTGGATCCAACTCAAACCAAGTTCTGTTTGTTTATTTTATCTCTGGAGCAGCGTCTTCTGCCAAGTTGGAACTGTGTAGAATAGGAAATGATCACCTGACTCGAAACCCACCTTGAGGTTTAAGGCACCAACCCAGTAGGGGGGACTTTGAACGCTTCTTCCTTCCCAATTCCTTGTCCCCCACTGCAAATGCAGATCATTTCACAGGATGCCAGGCAAATGCCCAGGACATCAGGGGCAAAATCTCCCCTTTGCTTTAAGGGAGCATCTTAAAATGACCTCAGTTGTGGCCCAGGTTGATTTTTAAAATGACGCAGGCAGTCTTCCACGTGTGTTGTGATGTTTTTGTGGTGAAGCTGTTCCCGTCATATGCGACCTAGAACAATGTATTGGAGGCTCATAGGTCTTTGTGATTTGGAGAAATGTGTAATCCTCTCGAGTATACTTGCTATAATGAAAAATATACAGTGTTTTCAGGGGAAAATATTAGCCACTGTTTTATTGTAGGCAGATTTTGAGGTGAGGGCAGAAATGAAATTCTCAAAATACACAATCATTTAAGCTAACACATGAACACAACTTGTTCCAAAACAGAAGAATTTTTCCCTCGACATTCGTTTCTGATCTCTTTTTGGTTTGTTTGTTTGTTTGTTTTTGTGTATTTTTGACTCTAGGCCAAAAAGAAATTAATGGTTAGTACCAAAAAGCATGAAGCACTTTCCCAGCTTGTAGAAAGCTCCAAGCAAACTGTGACTAAGAAGGAGAAGCAGAAGGTAACCTGTCTTGACCGCTGCTTGCATGTGGCTTGGAGACCAATGGGTTTCCTACTCTGAGCTCTGAACACAAGAGAACTGGCTGATTCTCTGCTCTGTGTGCAGTCTCTGCAGAGCTGTCATGTGGTAGGACAGGAGAGGGATTCTAAATCATTCCTGCTCTCACTTCTCTCTCTCTCTCTCTCTAAATATATATATAAATGTTTACTTACAAGAGAGATTTACTTTCTCTAATATTATGAGATTATTTACTGTCTCTCTCTTTATATACATATATGTATATGTGTGTGTGTGTGTGTGTGTATGTTCATTTATGAGACAGAGAGAGAGAGACAGAGTGTGAGCAAAGGAGGGGCAGAGACAGAGGGAGACAAAGAATCCAAAGCAGGCTCCAGGCTCCAAGCTGTCAGCACAGAACTCACAGACCTCAAGATCATGTCCTGAGCCAAAGTCTGACACTTAACTGGCTGAGCCACCCAGGCGCCCTGTGGTCCACATATATTTTTAAAAGGGATGATTGACAGATGATAAATTAGACCAAGGGCATCCAAATTTTTTGATAGGGACCCCATTCAGTATCTCTCAGCCTCCAAAATTAAAAATATATATATTCATATATAATAAATTATATAATGTACCTTACTGATACTGTACACAATATAAAGCACTTTATACATTATACTAATATGTCATGAACATTATAAAACATAAAAAAGTGTTTGAAGTGTGAGATAAAGATGAAAAAGTATTTTAAATGATTGGCTAATCATGATGCCCTCATACAAACCCTGAGTGACATTTCCAGGCAAAACATACACTTGGACAAGTTTCAGCCTTGATCATAGGAAATGTAAACTCCTATTTCTCATACTCCTCTTGATAGTGTTAAACCTTCTGGTTAACTTCTTGTCAGATTTCACCAGATCGTCCTAGATCTTGCCTTTTCCTGTGGGCGACGATGCACTCATAACCAGGAGCCAGAGAAAGCGTCAGCTCTGACATTTTCTCGTGGCTTTCTTATGCTCGCATTGGCAGTACTAATGTCAATCTACAATTTCTTAGGAGAAATCTTTGTAAGACATTTGTTAATTTTGTGTGTGTAACCTAATTAAAGCTAGATGATAATTCTGTAAATCCCCACGCCCTGGACACATGCAGATGGCCACATGTCCCAGGATGCTGAAAGTGAAGACATGTGTGACGGGCCCCTGTCAGCTTCCTAGGTTGTGAAATCCCCATTCTCCCTCCAGAGCACACAACTGTCTATGTGTGGGCACCAGTGGTGATTTTTATGTTGAATAACAGTAAGCTCGATGACTGTTTTTAGATAAAAATGAACACAAATAGTATTGGAGATATAATAGATTATCTCGCACACTTCTTGTGGTATGTGCTCCAAATTGGAAACCTTTGAAATAGTATCTTACGGGGCACCTGGGGGGCTCAGCTGGTTAAGTATCTGACTTCAGCTCAGGTCATGATCTCACAGTTCATGAGTTCAAGCCTTGCATCGGGATCTGTGCTGACAGCTCTCCCTCTCTCTCTGCCCCTCCCCCATCTGTGCTCTGTCTCTCTCTCAAATAATAAATAAACATTTTTTAAAAATGAAATAGTATCTTTCCCAAAAGATGGAGTCACCCTCAGGAAAATGCAGGCAGCACCACAGCAACCCAAAACACTCTGAAAAGAAAAAGAAACTTGTCATTGCAAGTAACGCTATCATTTCATCTGAAACAACTATTAGTCGAATAACTTAAATTCATTGTTAGCAAGATTTTACAATGTTCTTATTTCTTCACATGTCAATCTTTGCAGTTTAAAATGATCATAACACGAAGTGACTAATGACGGAGCTTCCAAGGAGGCAAGAAAAACCCCAGTCTGTTCAAATGCTAAGCATCAGGGCCTGTCAGAGGCATTCAGAGCCCTCATTAGAAGCTATTCTTCACTGATGTCAAGCAATAACAAAGAGAAAAGCTCAGGGCAGCTAAATGGTGGACTTTCTTTTCCTTCCCTCATTAACGGCTTCCCTGGGCTGTTGAAGCCAGTGGACTTCCTCTGCCTTCCTCCGACTAATCCTGTAACCATGGTCTTTGGCCGTCATTTTATCCAGACCCCTACCATCTTCATTGCGTTATCTCGTAGCTTTTTTTTTTTTTTTTTTTTTAGGTAAGGCTGAACACCTAAGGCAGCACTCACTTTTTGCATCTCCCAGAGACGTGCCCCTCATCTCCAACCTGAGCAGCGCTGGCTTTTCACTGCTCAGCAGTTCTTCCTGTTTTCCTGCTCAGTAGTCCTTGTTCTCAGCAGAAGCTGCTCTAAATCTCTATTTCCCACCTCCATCCTCACCACCCATCTCAGCAGATTGACTCTCTCGCCTCCTTCCTCACAGAGTAAATGGAAGTCAGCTCTGCCGCCGGCCTACTAAAGTCACAGGTGCAATTGGAGAGGCCAGTCTTCATGTGCTTGCATCCCATCCTGCCTCTCAGAGATGCTTCTCTTGACTATTTCCCTTTCTCCTGTATCTCGAACATACCCCTCTCTGATAGCTGCTTCTCATCAGTCAACACACCCTTCCCTACACCGTCTTGGGAGACTGGGAAGAGGCAGGGAGTCCCCTTTCTGTGGCCCTGTTTCTGTTCCTCTCCAGATTTTTTAATCATCTCTCCTTTTTACAATAACATTTATTGAAAGGGTTATCTGTGCTCTGTCTCCATTTCCTCACCTAATGATTCACTTCTCAAACCATACCAATCAAGCTTCCCCTCAATTCTACTAAGAGTGTTCTTGCCTGGGAAACAATGTCATCCTTGTTGCTAAAGCCAGTGTAGGGGCGCATGGGTGGCTCAGTTGGTTAAGCATCTGACTTCAACTCGGATCATGATCTCACAGTTTGTGGGTTTGAGTCCCGCGTCGGGCTCTGTGCTGACAGCTCAGGGCTTGGAGCCTGCTTCAGATTCTGTGGCTCCCTCTCTCTCTGACCTTCCCCTGGTCACACTGTCTCTCTCTCTTTCTCAGAAGTAAATAAAACATTTAAAAAAATGTTTTAAAGCCAGTGTGTACTTTCTGATTTTTATTTTATTTAACTTCTTGGAAGTATTAAGCATTGTTGACTTCCGCCTTCTAAAAAATTCTCTTTTTAAAAATTTTTTAATGTTTATTTTTGAGAGAGGGAGGGAGATAGAGAAAGAGCCCAATGCAGGGTTTGAACTTACGAACCATGAGATCACAATCTGAGCCAAAGCCAGACACTCAACAAACTGAGCCACCCTGGTGCCCCAACATTCTCTTAATTTCAGCAAGATCTTACTCTTTCGTTTTTTTCTTTCTGGCAATTTTTTTCTTAAACTCCTTTATGGACTTCTCTTTTTTTGCCTGACCTTTATATATTGCTTTTCCTGATGATTTCTCTCTGGGGACTCATTCTGTTTTATTTGGCATTATATTTCCAGGGTCCAACACAGTATTCTCAAAATTGGGTACTTAATAAGTAACCAGTACTCAATAAATATACTTTCAAAGCTTGAGCTACTATATCTATGCTGATCATACCCAAATTTATATCTCCAGTCCGTCCCATCTCTAAACTGCCTTCTGTCACCTCAAACTCAACACTAAGATTGGAACCATTGTTTCCCTCTACCAAAAATATTCTTTATTGCTGTGTTTTCTATATCTTTTGAATGTTACCAGTTAATAAAACCTTGCTGTTTTACCTCCTAAATGAAATACCTCTTGAATTTTTCTGCTGCACTAGTTTAGGTGCCCTTCTTGGCACCCCAGTGATACCTAATCCTTGTATCATTCCGGGATGGGTCACACAGGCCCTATGAGTCTCTGACTAGGGGGAGACTACCTAGTTTCCTTCTCTAGTCCCAGAGCCAGTACATGACACATTGTGACACTCAGTAAATGTTTGATGAAGAAATTAAGGAGATGTCCGTTCCTAGAGAAAGAAAGGAAAAAGTCTTCAATATTTGACATATTTTTGGTAAAGGTTTCTGAGAATTTCCTTAAATAAGAATATAAAAGTCCATATTCTTCTTTTATATCTATTTGGGGTTATTTCTTGTATGTTTGCTGAGTAGAAACTTCTAGTCAATAGCTTCTAGTGGAGGCTGATAAACGTGAGTAGTCATCTCAAAAGTAACTTCGTTCTCATTGCTGGAAGTGTGAGCATTCTCAGTAAGAATCTAAGGAACATGATTTAGTAAAGTATGGCCATGGCACACTTCCAGCTTTTTTACTATATCATTATCAGGTTAAAATTCACAAGCTCATGTTTCCATAGATAAATGTGGCTCATCACACTTGACATACAAAACAAATGTGTCCTGTGTAAGTCATACATCAGAGCTGAGGGACAGTTGAATGGCTAGTGTATCAATTGGAATAATATAGTGAGTGGTATTAATAGTCACCATTTTGGCTGAATGTTCTTCATTACTGAAATGTAAGCCAAAATGGTCTTAAGCATAAAGAAGGGCATTTTTAAAAGTCTTTGTCTCTGTCCTTGAAACTCCTAACTGCTTAAGTCCCAGGGATCTTTGGTACCCCTTCAACTGTGGCTTGAGGACCATTTGCATCAGAATGATCTGAATAGGTGGTGAAATTCAGATTTCCCAATCCCATCACAGAACTAAAGAGTCAGTATTGGCACCTATGGGATCCTGAAAATCTGCAGTTTTATAAGCACCCAGGTCCATCCTAGGCATATTCAAGTTTGAGAATCATTTGTGTTAACACAACTTCCTCTGTTCTCAAAGATGTGAAATTACTTGTCTGAGCATTTTGAGAATCAATTTCAGCTACCCTGAAATTGACCTGGTGCAGAGAGTTTTTTGTCACTTTGATTTTCCAGAAGACTTCACAATCGGATAGCCACTTTTTGTGGTGGGCAAGAAGAGGCTCTTTGTGAAGGAGCAGATCACTGGGGAGGAGGATGAGGGGAAAGCACCTGGCAAGCCGTCCATAACTTGTAGTGAACATTAGCGTCTGCCTCAGACTCTTCACTGGTGGACCAGTTCTAAAATTACATGCTTGCATAATCTCTACCTGTCCTGGCAAGAAATGCCAGGGTGCAAGGATTTACCAAATAAGAGTACAGGAATCATTAGTAGGTGACAGCCTTAACCTGGAGATTCTTAATCTGTGCTCGTTTCCCCTCACCTGTCATTGCTTTGGTGAACTCCTTGTGGGCCCATCACATCACACTTAAGGACCTCAACTTCCTCATGTGAAAAATTGAAGGAGGGGCACCTGGGTGGTTCAGTTGATTAAGTGTCTAACTCTTGATTTCAGCTCAGGTCATGATCTCACAGTTCACAAGTTTGAGCACCGCATCGGGCTCTGCGCTGATGATGTGGAGCCTGCTTGGGATTCTTCTCTCTCTGACCCTCCCCTGTTCTCTCTCTCTCTCAAAATAAATCAATAAACTTTAAAAGGAAGGAATGGTATTGAAAGGCCTTTAGGTTTCCTTTCAGCTCTGATACCCATTTTCTCTGAGAAAGAGTTTTGATTTTGTCATCTATAGTTACTGTTTATGACTTTAGCTGGGAGTTGAGAAATGTCTCATTTGGATGTACGCACCTCTTTACCAGGTAATGACAAATTACCTGGCCTTGATAAATGTGCTAATGAGTATGTGGCACTGACCTTTTCCTTCAGCTCCTCAGTAAACTGAAAAAATCGACTGAGAAGTTGGCAAAAGAAGATGAAAGTTATTACCAAAAAAACATGGCCGGCTGTGCTACCAGACTGAAATGGGAAAACACCCTAGAAAACTGCTACCAGGTGAGTTCTGCATTCACATTTTTCTCTTCTTCCATGTAGCTCTGTGAGACTTTGAATATGAAGGTCGGATCGACAGTTACAGGACCTGATGATCTCTGTCCTTGGTTAGGACCCTCACTCTAATGGTGACTTTGGACAAACCACATAACTTCTAATTGTTTCCATTTCTCCCTGGATACCATAACCAGTGAATATTTACTGAGTGTCATTGGCTAGAATCTAATTCTCAATGGACACAATAGCACTCAGCTAACCTCAAAAAGTGCTGTCAAAGTAAAGTATGAGGTACTCAGAAATGAGTTTTAGGCCTGAGGTTGATTTATACAGTAATCACTTATGGGGTTCCTTTGTATGCCAGGCTCTGTGATGGGCACTGGAGCAATTATGAAAGTACCATCTCAACTTGGGATGTGAACAGTTAAGCTGCAAAGAAGACATCTAAAGAAAGAATTGTGGCAAATCATCCAATAAAAATTAAAACGTGTGAACAAGCAAATCACAAAAGGGAAAATCAAAATCACCAACAAACATATGAAAAGATGCTCAATCATTTGGCAAAAATTAAAAAGTAGCAATGCCACATACTGCCAAATAAGAATTTCTGGGAAACAAGAAATCTTGTCCGTCTCTAGCAAGGATTATTTGATGGTATCTAGTAAAACTAAAATGTGCATGTATTATGTATAACAATGTTCATTGCAGAACAAGTTTGTAATTGCATAGTAAGAAAAAGTTGCATACAACCTTCATACCTATCAATAGAGGAATAACTCTAAAAACGTGCTCTAATTTAGAAAGTAGACTAATATAATATCTAGCAATAAATATTAATTAAAACTACATTTAAACACAAATTAACCTCAAAAAACATGATGTTGAAGGAAAGAAACATGCTATTCATACACTTTATGTAAATTAAAGCATTTAAAAAATGCACACCCCAAAGGACAGTGTTTTTATGTGTGTGTTTGTAAACTTATACATACAGACTGAATGTATGTTGGAGGAGGGAAATGGGAATTCAACAGTGCGGCCACATACAGCCACATAGCTTGTGGACAGTCTGGCAGAGATCAAAATCAAAAATAAACAAAACAAAACAAAAAAACCCCAGGCTTAAAAGTTACTCCAACTACTATATATCTGAAGAGCTTAGCTCTCTATTTTTAAAGTCAACATAAATATGACCAACTTAAATAATTTTCAGTTCTGGGTGTTAAGAACATGAATGTTTGGGTCTATTTTTTCCCCACATATTAAGTTAAAAAAAAAAAAGCCTGTTTAAAGCGAGGTAGAGTTGCAAAGAGGCAATCACAACAGAGTTTGATAAGCTCAGTAACATGCAGATGATAATGGCCAACGTGTCACAGGTGTTGCTTATGGACAGGCACTGGGCTAAGTACATCCACTGCATTATATTTTGTATTCATCACAACATTATGAAGAGGTCATAATTTTATTCTCAATTTATAGTGAGGGAGTGGAGGCTGAGAGACATGAAGGAACTTGCCCAAGATGGCAACAAGAGTCAACCTAGGCAGTCTGATGCCACGGGCTTAACCTCTACTCTCTGCCTCTGCGTTAACAAGAGCTGGGCAAGAAAAAAGGAAGAGCTGTCTTTAATCTCTTGGTATTCCACTTTCAAGGTAGGATAGATGCAGTTAGGGAAGAATGGGGAAATTAAAGGAGAGATGAAAATTAGGCCAGAGAGGAGAAAATGAGAATAAAGCTATCTTTAATTTGTACCTTCAAGCATAGCGTGCTGGTACTCTCCTTGCTTTTGTTGACTAGGTTTCACATGAAGATGTAAGGGCCAAGGATTTAATTTCCAACCTTATCCATCTGAAACCTGGCCCTCCAACCTGTCTCTGGTCTTGCCTCATCCCCTGAGACTTCTCAGTGGCCTTGTGGCTTCTCCACTGAGGCTGTTAGATTTGGGAGCCCTGCTAGATTATGGGAAAGAAATGGCTGCTCCCATTCCATCTTCCAGGTGATGAGAAAAATATGTCTCTGTGTCTCCACCCTTCTCTCCTCTCTATATCCCAGCAATGGAGGGTAATTACAGTTCTTACCTGAGATGGCTGCCAGCGTGTCTGGAGTGGCTGACATCCAGCCTGCCTTCCAAATGTCTTGGGTGCTGCTATTACTACCTTCTCAGAGGCTCTTACTAAGTCCCTTTCCTTTTTTTCTAAGTTTTCCTTCTTCCTATTAGGGTCCTCCTAAACCTCCTCTCTGGCCCATCCCCCTTTTAGCAGCCCCAACTTTTATATTGAAGCATCATGGAAAGGATCTTCTCTGTTTATAAAGTCTCTCTGATGGTAACAAGATACACACTCATTTACATTTCAAAAGATGTCTTTGCAGACAAACAAAAACACAGACTCTTAAACATAGAGAACAAATTGGTGGTTCCAGAGCCGAGGTGGTTGGGGGATGGTAGTGAAATAGGTGAAGCTCCCTATGAATGAAGAGTACACTTATCATGATGAGCACTGACTTGTGTATAGATTTGTTGGATCACTATATTGTACACCTGAAACTAATATAACTGTATGTTCATTATACTTGAAGCCTTTTTTTTTTTTAATTCCTTTCAACTCAGCTTTAAAAATATTTAAACTCAAGGTTTTTTATTAGAATCTAAGTCAGGGCACCTGGGTGGCTCAGTCAGTTAAGTCTCTGACTCTTGATTTCAGTTCAGGTCATGATTTCATGGTTTGTGAATTCGAGTCCACGTCAGGCCCTGTACTGACAGTGCGGAGCCTGCTTGGGATTCTCTCTGTCTGCCATCCCCCACTCATGCTCTATCTCTCTCTCTCAAAATAAATGAATAAATATTTATTTTAAAAAATTTAAGAAAGAATCTAAGTCAATATCAGAATCTCCATAAAGAAAAGAAAGACTTTTTTTTTCATCCTTCTTGTGTCCTGGCTTATTGTTACCAACATGGCAGAAACCACCAATATTTCATCCCATCTCCCTTTTAGTTCATGTACCCCCTTTCACCACAGCTGCTTTAGGGCTACCTTCTGCCTCCTGAGTCGAGTCCAGCCCTTCAGACCCATTCAAGACAACTTCTGCCAAGTCATCCTCGCCTGGCCATAACCAATATTCCCTTACTTTGTATTCCCTTGACTTGTATATACTCAGTCCACACCAACAAGTCGCTGACTCACATATCAGTGTGTTTACATTATTGTTTACAAACTCAGAAGTAGAGTGTTGTATTCATAAAGACACATAACAAAAGTGAACTGAGTGGAATTAAAGGGGAATTTTATTATAAGTGGGGGGCGTGGAAATGTGACAAGTGTCGCTCAGCTTCATATTTTCCTCCATTCTCCCACCAATCTTCTGTAAAAATGGGGTATAAGAATTCATCCAAATGTCCTGTAATGTATCCTCTTACCCCTTCTTACTCTTCAAATTAGATTTGCAAACTCTTTCAGAGAACATTCATTGAACTGCATTCGAGGCAGTTTACTAGATCTCGAGATATGAGAAGTTTCAAGCGTGATTATGAAGTAATAAAACCAATTCCACAAGCCACATGTAAAATTAGTCTTATTATTTATAATCATATTATGTTCAAGTTATATTTCCTACCTTCCAGGAAAAAACAGTTCAGCTGGTAGAAATAATCTTTAATATATTTTGAAAAATAATAGCCATGCTAGTAAGAATTACCATGAGCCAAACGTTTGGTACTAACAGAACTTACTCAAGGAATTATTTTAGAAAGTCATTTGCAGTAAGTGTCAACGGCATTAAACATGTTCACTTTTTCAACCAGTATTCTTCATCTGAACCACAGAACACAGAAAATAGTATGAATGACTGTTTTCCCAGTTCTCCCAAGGGTAGTGACTGGTACCAATCTCGATGCAGGGGGCAGATGGTCACTCATAAGGCATAAACAGTTGCCTTAGGACATTAGGGCTTAATCCCCTCCTAGAACCCATGTTGAAAAACATAAATTTTTTCTATAAATCCATCCTGAAAAAATAGCTGAAAAACAAACCAATTTCTGTTCAAAATATATTAAAAACAAAAGGGAGGAAGCAATTCAACCGGCTAACAATAAGAGGATGCCTAAATGAGTCAAACACACTCTATGCCGTCCCACAAATGGATTATATTAAATGCTGTTTTTGGAGACTAACACCATAAAAAATTGCTTTTGTATAATGTTAAGTGAAAAAACAGGGTACAAATTTGACTAATTTGATAGATAACTAGAAAGATAAAATCGTACATGCACGCATACCTAGATGGACTGAAATACATCAAAATGCTAACGGGTTATCTCTGGGTGGAAGAATTATAAATAAATTTTAAATTAATTTTTTATGGCCCTTTATAGTTCTAAGACAACGTCTCAAAGCAGCTAGCACGCTTGTGAAAATTCCAATTCCTGGCAGAAGCATCCCTAAATGGGACGAATCAGAACCTCTGAATGGTTTTAGGAAGGCATCTGGGTGATTGCTACGCATACTAAAATTTGTGAGCCCTTGCTCTCGAAAGGACATGCTATTTCTTTGATCGGTTTTTGAAAGCAGTTTCGATGAAGTCCGTCCAAATTCCTTGGGTAGCACAGGCCAAATTCCTTGGGTCCTTGCCAGGACAGCAGCACTGAAAAGAATGAATGAAGAGGATGAATTTTCACTGTGCCTGCGCCCAGACAGACTCCCAGTCTGCTAACTCTGACCACACTCTCCACGTGCACACTATTGTAAAAGCTCAGGAGGAGAGTTTCAGGTCCTCCGGAGTATTTTGCTTCTCTCCCACCCACTTTATACAAAAATAAAAAAAATAATGGAAAGTAATAATTCATCAGATGAGATATGGATTTTCCCTTTGCACAGTGGAATTTATCTCTGCCTCTTTCCATGAGCAAACATAGATCATTTTAATGATTCCCTGAAATGTAATTAAAATCCCTTAACCATTACCATCACCACCAAGGGATACTGGTTGTTCTAGTCTCAGATTGAAGCTAGTGGCTCAGCACTTGTCAAAATAAGGAAACAGCTGCCCCCTAGGACACAATGTGTTCCCACAGCCTGGCTTTTGTTTTTTCTCCTGTTCTTTGTTCACGTGCGAAACTGGAACAGCTGTTTTTCTGAATCTTCCTCTAAGGTGTAAAGTCTCTTTTTGAAGATGGTTCCAGTTCAAATTGCTGGGCTCTGGTCAAGCAACTGAGCAGAATTTGTCTTATATATTGGTTAGGAGGCATAGATCCCTGTCCTTGGAAGAAGCAGGACATTGCATAGGCTACTCTTCTGCGTCTTTAATCCTAGGTCTGGGAGCCTGAGGGCACACAACTGCTTTCACAAGTCTGGTTCCTGGCAAGATTGAAGAAAGACTCAGGAGATCAAGAACAGAAACAAGGGCATTTAGCTGACTTACAAAAGTTGTACAGCTTCTGACTCAATAAAGAAGTGGTCATAGGAGAGCAGAGCTCTGGCTTCTTGCTTCAAATGTCAGGACACTGGGCACAGAACTGAAATTTGCAAGTGATGGCATAAATTTTCATAGTTACTGCCTGAGCTGTTTATTACTTGCATTTAATAGCAGTGTTAAAATGACTATATACCAATAAATAAAACATGATATATACACAGAATAGAATATTATTCAGCCATAGAAAGGAAGGACATTCTGTCACATGCTACAACATGGGTGAACCTTGAAGACTTTATGCTAGGTGAAATAAGCCAGACACAAAAAGGACAAACACTATATGATTCCTCTCATATGAAATATCTAGGGTAGTCAAGCTTGTAGAAGACATAAGGTAGAATGATGATTGCCAGGGGAGATGGGAAAGGGGTATGAGAAATTTGGTTTGACGTCTGAAGAATTTTACTTTTGCAAGATGAAAAAATTTCTGGAGATGGATTATAATTATGGTTGCACAACAATGTGAATGTACTTAATGACACTGATGTGTACACTTAAAAGTGGTTAAGGGGCACCTGGATGGCTCAGTTGGTTAAGCATACGACTTCAGCTTAGGTCATGATCTCACAGCTCATGAGTTCGAGCCTCGCATAGAGCTCTATGCTAACAGCTCAGCACCTGGAGCCTGCTTCGCATTCTGTGTCTCCCTCTCTCTCTCTGCCCCTCCCCCGCCATCTCTCAGAAATAAACTTTGAAAACAAAACTGGTTAAAATGGCAAGTTTTATGTTATGCAAGTTTTACCACAGTTACAAAAATGTAAATGAATTTTTAAAAAAGGTTAAAGTGACTATACACAATAGATAAAATAACAACTGAATGTGAATGCTGTCTACCACAGGGATATAAAGGACCACCATGCTGCATTAGGCCAGCAGACCCTGTAGATGTGCCTAGAGAGGCAGATGGGAAAACCCAAATATCTTTGTGACTCTCTCCCCCCACAACCCCCGCCCTACCAAAGGCCTTGAGAAGGACTTGACCTACCTGCTTCCTATGGAAATGCTACCCACCCATTTGCCCAAAGCATTCTTCATGAAAGACTATTGCTGAGTCCTCTTCATTGTGCGGCATGGAGTTGGGTGGATAGCGGGCATGAGAGCAACCAACCTGGCCTCTGGACAAAGGAGGGATGCCCAGCTGTGTCCTTACAAAAATGAGACAAACAGCATGTGGTCTTGGGCACCTGCCACCTCTGTCAAAGCCCAAAGTCCTCTGAGCACGTACTCAGCAGCCCCCCACCTCCCCCACGTGGCCAAGAAACCCATCTGGCCCAGCTTTCTCACACGATGCCTAGCTGCTGAACTTCCCTGCACTGCCTCAAAGCAAGCAGTCAGCAGCTCAGCTAGCAGGGAGTGGCCAAAGTCTAATAACTAACTTTTTCTAAAATCTTAATGACTAGCAAGGGAAATACGACATCCCTTTGTTTACCCTTCCTAGGTAAAAGTTATGAAACTCTAAGAGTAGAATTTTTGTCATTCTGCACAAAGTGGAGAGGTTATATATCTACATTCCCACAGTGGTGTTTGACACCCCCGCCCCGACCTAATTTTAGGCAGGATTATAAATTGATCAGACTTTGGGGTTCCACTCTTGTCAAATAGTTTCCTTAAGCTCACTTGCCCCTGCAGAGACTAGCAGAATGCCTTGTATGTAGTATAAACAGTTTTAAAAATATTTAGTGTCTAAATGTACTTCCAAGATATGGCGATGGGTTTTACTTGGTTTCACTCTCCTTCTCTAGAATGAACCCACAGATGCTTTTCAAATGATTCCTTTTCTCCCCTTTCATTGTGAGTGTCAGGTAACCCAAAACATCAGCCAATATGCCTTTCTGGCCAAAACAGCCTGGGGAATGTATGTGAGTTAAACCAACCCTAAATGAGGATAAACAGGAAATACACCAGTCTCCCCCCACTGCAGCTTGGATGTGACATAAACAAGACGCATCAACATGACAGTTTACTCAGACTTTCTTCAGGTGTCTCAATGCTTGGTGGGTAACGTTAGTTTTGCACAACTGGCCAGCCTTACATCATTTTCCATCCTTTTCAGAGCATCCTGGAGCTGGAGAAGGAAAGAATTAAACTTTTATACAATAACTTAAACCAGTACACCCAACATATTTCTGTTTTTGGCCAAACCCTGACTACAGTGAGTAGTAAAAATCTATTTCTGATATGCATGGTAAGAACCGGCAGGAAGCATTCTCTGGTAACCTTGTTCTGCTTCCTTGGCTTTGCAGTGCCACACGCAGATTCACTGTGCCGTCAGCAAGATAGATGTTGAAAAAGACATCCAGGCTCTCATGGAAGAAACCGCAGTTTCATCCACAGAAAATAAATCTGAGCTCCTGTTAACCGATTACTTTGTAAGTATGGAATGGAAAGCAGTTCCATTAATGGGGAACCTTAGTCATATACTGAGGGATTCATTTTGAAAAAAAAATTGAGAACAATTGTAAATGAAAGTATTGATTTTTTCATAGTCTATATAAAAAACAGTATGTGGTTTACAAACTGGGCAATAGAAATATGTCTTTGGTATTCTCTGGAAGAGAAGAAAGTCAAGTGAGAGTCTAGACTTGATCTTTATACTCAGTCTTCTATACAAGAGTAATGCCAGGCAGATGTGTTTCATGATCTGTAAATAATTACTGTATATCATATTAGATGCCTATTGCTGCACAACAATTACTCCCAAATATAACTGGCTAAAACAAGCATTTATTATCTCACAGTTTCTGTGGGTCAGGAATGTAGGTATGGCTTCACCCGCAGGGTGGCAGCCAGGAGTGCAGGTATGTCAAGGCTCTCCTGGGAGATGACCTGCTTCTGAGCTCATGTGGCTGATGGCAAACCTCCAGTCCCCACTGACTGGTGGCTGGAGATACCAGCTCCTTGCCATGTAGGTCTCTCCCCTGTGGGGAGTTCACAGTATGTCACAGTATGTCTCTTTGCCCAGAACTGGTGATCCAAAGAGAACGAGCTAGAGTGTCCAAGAAGGAAGTGTCATCTTCTTAAGCTAATCTCAGAAGTGACATCTCTTAGCATTCTATTTGTTAGAACTAAGTCAATAAGTATGGCCCACATTTAAGTGGAAGAGATTATACAAAGGCATGATTCCTTGAATGTGGGAATCATTATCAACATTCTTCATGGTCTTTGCCTTTGAAAATCTTGAACCGTATTACAGAAGCTTATTTTGAGGGCACTTGGGTAATTCTACTATTATATAAAACTTGCTAAAAACTGATCAATCATCTAACCCCTTTGTTTTCTTGGGGTAAATTCTTTGTCTTCTTGGATCACGTCTCAAAGATTTTGTCTTCTGCTCCCCTCTTGTTAGCCTTAATTGCAGTGTTCTAGAAGCTGATGATTAGGTACCAAAATCATCAGGAAGACTTCCTGACAGCTCCTCCCTGGGCCCTCTGCTATATTTCATCCAGAGTTTCAAGGTCCAGATGGGGAGGGTTCATTTCTCCCTGTATAGAGAACTAGCCTACTGGCCATGTCCTCCTATGGGATTAAAAGTATTGCTAAAGTCAACATCCCAGGAGTCCTGTGCAGGGAACAAGAGATGAGGAGGGGGGAAAAGCCAGTCAGATTAGGCACAGTGATGACTCCTGACCAGTTTTATCCCTTCTCACCCTCCAAACAGCAGCAAGTGGCCACCTATTTCTTTCATCAAATCTTTTCTTCCTACCCTGACAAAGGTGAAGTGAATTAGCAGTAGCAACGTCCACTCAGAGCAGTAACAAAGGAAGCAATGGGAGCGGAAAGGGAGATTTGATGGGGGAAGTGCTCTTCTATTTTTTTTTTTCTCTCTCCTTCTAAATAGTGTAGGTGACCTCTTAGATGGGAAAATGTTAATAAAATATATTTGTTATGCTCTTATAAAAGTGCCCCTATTGACTAACCTGTCAATAAAATAAGGGTCATTCTCCTTGAAATTTTGATTAGACTTCTAGAGAAATATAAAGAGGTAGCCATGACAGTTTATCTTTAATTGCTCTGCCCATGGAAATTTTGGGTTTCTATGGAACTTCAGTGTACCAAAGCTAATGATTATGTATCTGTTGTTTACATGAATGGATTGTATCTTCAAATGTGTAAATGGGATTTTCTTAATATCCTCAAAGCAAAACACCCCCAAATTCTGACTTTATAGACATTGACAATAAGTGTAGACTGGTTTATATCTAGTGCCAAGAAATGTATATGGACTAGGGTAAGACAGAACACTAAGAGTGCAGATATTGAGGGGTTGGTGACCAGCGTGAAAATATTTGTAAGGTCACCATAAGGCTCAGAAGACTGTATCTAAAGTTTCAAATGCCACCTTCAATATTGATCTTCTTTCCCAAATCTTTGGAAGAGAAGGACAAATTTAAGAAAGTTAACAGACAGCAGTATATCCTAGCCTCAAGTTGATCCAGTAGTGACCCATCTCTGGAAATACATTTGTAAACAGGAGTCCCCAAATGACCCAAATGAAGTCTAGACTGGCATGGGAGCCAGAGTATGATGTGCCTTTCTCCAGCAAGGAAGGCCTGGGGGTTGGAGGCGGGCAGCCATGCATTTCAACTGAGGCTCATGTGGGGACGTGACGGCCACTGTGGACAGGCATGTACAGGAGCAGACGGGGAAGAGAACTGGGAATCAGAGGAGTGGGGTTTCAAGCTGTTTCTTTTGGGCCTTCATTTATGTCTCTGAGTGTCACAGGTAAAATGGGGGAGATAAAGCCAATCTCATAGAATTGTTGTAAGAATCACATGTAATAAAGATATAGGCTTTTATAATATGTAATTCACAATAATGAACATTTTTATGTAGACCTCATTATTTCTATAAAGGCTGCTTGCTTTGCTCTAAATTCTCATGCCTCCTTTTCTTCATGATGATCTATCTAAACCTGATCTTTCCACCAACTTGTAGGATCACGGGTTTTCTCCTTCCATATTAGAGAAGTCCTGACTCCTCAACTGCCATCTTCAGTCATTGGTGTCCTCTCTTTCTCCACGGGTCCCTGTCCCTCTGCTACACTCACATTCAGCCACCTCCCCACCTGACCCTAACATTCTCTTTTTTTCCCCATTGAACCCTTGAAATAATGTATGTGAAAGCTCAGGTATTATTATTAGTTTCTCACATTTTATAGGATAAAATCTGTACTTCAGCCCAAAACTCTGGCCTAAACTACAAAGACAACTTTTCCTTTCACTACGTTTGCTCCAGCAACTGTCTGCTCTGTTGATTATTCCTGATACGTTTTTGTTGGTTTTGTTTTGTTTTGTTTGCACTTCTCCCTCTGTTCTTTCGCTTGAGCCGTTTCTCCTGCCCGGGGTACCCTTTGCCTTCCTTCCCCTTGACTGAAAAATCCTGGTGATGTCTTCTGGCCTCCTTGAAACTCTCCTGTATTGGCACTCGCTGAATCACAATTCCTGTCTACACCGTCCATGAATGACTGTGGCCTTGGATTGCTAGGTCTGTTCACGCTATGCTTCAAGGCCTGACTAAATTATAGACCCATTCTGGGAAGGGCTCACGTGCTCCCAGCAGCCAGCCGATGCAGAGCAGGACAGCAAATAAGGGTTCCACTCGGGAGGCAGTCCTGGCTCGAGGCGAACACATGATGCCACGTTGGACGTTGAAAGAACTCTAACTGGATCCAAGACAAATGGGGACCAATTCGTATCCAACAAACCAATTGACTTATCAAGGAACTATGAAATAACGATAGTAAGGCCCTTCCTCCAACAATAATGTGTTCTGTTGAGGAGAGTGCTCAGCTCTGTACTGACAAGTGGACGAGATATTTTCATAGTAAGTAGGCCTAGAACAAGTAGAGCAATCTGTATAAAACCATGGGTTATCCTGCTTTTATTTCATTTCTTTACTCTCTTTCCCCTGTCCCGTTAATATTAAATACAGTTGTCAGTGAAAGTCTCAGTAGAACCAGGAGGAACAACCCTTTTTGCTCTTTAACATGTTAAGCATCCTTTTTATTTTTCCTAAAGGAAGAAGATCTTAACAATGCAATGAATAAAGAGCGACAAGAGTCTTCAATCAAATCAAAACTCCTGAGATTGCAAAAAGAGATTGACAAAGCCTCAAGAGACCGGGCAGGTGTGTCATTGTGTCTGTGAATGGCCAGATAAGCGCTCTACTCGGAGGATTCACTGAGAGTTAGGGTGATTCCACTTTTGCCAACTGGGGCAGGGACCATCTCACTTAAAGAATCCTATGTCAAACCTAATTTGTGTGAATAAAGAAAAATGGGAAAGAAGAAAGGGGAGCACAAACAGACTGAAAATGACATTTTGGTCTATTTGAGAGAGCTACAGAAGCACTATGTCCCCATTTCCAAAAACGCAGCGTATTGCCGTGTTTCTGAAATTGGCTGGAATGAGGGACAGTTCGTTTGGTTTAAAACACGGTAAACCCACTGTGCACGCAGCTTTTGGTTTTCTTGTTTGTTACTTTTTAAACTATCCTTCCACATGAATAGTTTATCACAGCGGCCTTAATGGACGAGGTAAATATTTGCAGAGCTCACCCTCCTAGATGTAATGAGGAAAGAAGTTAGGTATGTCAGAATGTGACGCTGCTCTAAAGCGATACATATAATAAAAACGACCCCACAGTTATGATTCTGGAACTTGGAACTTCTCTTCTGTGGACCAGAGCAACCCATTGAAATGTAATCCCTGTCAAGAAATCCAAGAGAGTGAAATGTTTAGAACCCTAAATACCATAGCGAGGGAGAGCCCAACACTGTGGGAAGTGTTGGGAATGGACCACGGACTGGGTTCGCAAGGAGGATTCGAAAGCTCATCTTGCCAAATAATAATCAAGATACTTTTAAACTCCAGCATTTCTCAAATTTCATTAAATGAAGGTACAGGCCACTGCTTTAGTAAAATTTAGTAACAACTACTGCAGAAAGGCCTCCGGCGCTGGGAAGTCCTCCTGGTTCCACCTCTGGGCGCAAGCTCCCCGGCTGCCCCGCTCAGCTGTGAACCGCGAGGGCAGGGGGACAGCAGTGACTGAGAGAATCATTTCATTGCCAGGTTTGGAACAAATGCTGAAATCCTACTCGAGCGACTCCACCTTCTCGGATGCAGAGAGCCAAAGAATCACAGTGGCCTTAATGGACGAGGTAAATATTTGCAGAGTTCACCTTCCTAGATTTAATGATGAAAGAGTTATTTTTAGAATACTTGTTTTCGGGGCCGGTTTGACCTCTCTTTGCCTCCCTTTTCTCATGACATAGAATAATCTGGTAAGAGAGCTTCTACCTCACCTACTTGACAGCAGTTGAGGGACCTGGAACAATTCAACTACTTAGAAATGTTTGCTTTAGTGTCCTTCCCGGAAAAGAATTGTGCCTAAAATAGAATTCCCCCAAAATAGAATAATTCCATCAAGGCCTGGAAACCATGTGTACTTTAACTCAGTTAAGGAAAGTAATTTAAAAAAAAAAAAATCAGGGCCTGCTTTCAGAAAGACCCATATCTGGATCTAATCCTGCCATTTACAGGGACTTAGGACTTCAGTGTTCTCGTCTGTAAAATGGGGATATTGGTCCCTCCTTCAAAGGGTTATTGTGAGGATACAGTATTAGTTAGAAAATGCCAGCACGGTGCCCAGAGGAGAGCTGAAAACCTGGTAACTATGAAGATTCCGTTTTCCACCGATCCCCTAGCTAACACCAGGTCTTCGGAAAACAACAGGAGAGAGGAAAGATGTGAGGCACAGAAGTAAGAGGGTTGTCTGGGATGTGTGGTCAAAGCTCCTGAGAAAAAGGGACAAAACTTGAGAGGCTGAGGTTTTTTTGAGGGGAGGAGAGGTACTGTCAGGAGAGGGCGGGGAGAGACATCTCTAGGCCTTTTTGCTGAGAGCCTGGACCACAATGGGCCCCAGGCACTTGTGGGGAGTGATGGACAATGCAGCCGATTCAGAGGAGCCGGCAGGCAGTGAAAGAGAAGTTAGCAGAGGGCTGTGAATTCTATATAGAAATAAAGACAAACAGATACTATGCACTATGTGTGCTAGATACGGGTTTTCTGCTATGATTAGTGAGATAGGAAGTTGACTGGAGCTAATCTGGGAAGAATTCAGGAAGAGAGAAAATCTTTAGCAATGTTTTGAAGAATGTGGGGAGCTGGGCCAGCTGTCCTTACCTTGTACTTAGCCCAGTAACTCTCTTGTGAAAGCAGGTACCTAATAATTCTGTCCAAACAGGCAATTTCAATTGTTCTTTCGTGAAAGGAGATAGTTAGAGCCAGGTACAGTTTAATCTACTGTTTAGCAGAGGCTTCCTTAAGAGCGGGTGCTGTTGTAAAAACAAACCTAACACTCTTAGTGAAAAGGCCTGAATTCTGTTCACTTGGGAACAGAGCTCTAACATATTTGCAGTGATGCATGGCTATAGTTTTTGTGAAAATATAAAGCAGTCTGTAGAACATTTTCTGTGATAGTGCAAAATGTTTGGTTTTCTAATTCTATGCAAATAATATTTACCAAAATAAAGTCTTATGGTACATTTCACGATGGTGTTAAGTTATAAGTTTATTTCTTTGGTTGTTCTTGCATAGAATTTTGACAGAGTCATTACCAGCATAGAACATGCATTGGGATCATCTGGGTACATGCTGGCCTGATCCAAGTAGTGGAGGGTGCAAGATCTGAGAGGCTCTGATTCCTGAAGTCATGGTGTTTATGAGGGAGCAAATATGAACCGTCGAGCAGTAGATGGCAAATACCCATGTAACTTCGTTGCACACCCCTGCATCCGGTGGAGGGATATGGGTAGACTTTGTGTTACCCGGGGAAGGTTTCTTGCGGGAGGAAATTCTGTTTCATTTAAATTCTTCCTAATTCATTGCCTCTTGGTCCTTCAAGTGCCATATTTGAAACAAGGATGTTGATAACGCATGTTCTAGCAGAAAGTGTTGTGGAAACTGAATATATTTAGAGTAGATACTGCCTTCAGATACCGGAAGGAGTACCACATAGAAGAGGAAAGACACTTGCCCTATGATGCTGTCAGATGCAGACTAGGTCTAATGGTAGAAGATAAGCAGTAAGTTTTGGCTTCATCTTAGGTAGGCCTGTCCCACAGTGCAGTCGATCAGAGGTGTTCATTCAGTTCCTTCCAACCTGAGGTGCTGTGGTCCCTTGGCCAGGGATGTTAGGGTTAGGAATTCCCATGCTGGAGATGTGGAAAAGGGAGAAATAATGGTCAGGAAGAGATTGGATAAGCAGGCCCCTTCCAATGTTTACATTCTGTTATTTGATTTACTCTAAGTGAACACGGCTTAACAAAGAAGTTATTATAAAGTTTCTAGTTCAAGTTCAAATGGAGAACAGGAGGTCAAATTAAGAATTAGTAGTGTATCTTTAGCTTCATTTGTTGTTTAGATGTTTCTTTCTTTTCTGTGTGTGGGGTGTGTATGTGTGTGTGTGTGTGTGTGTGTGTGAGAGAGAGAGAGAGAGAGAGAGAGAGAGCACAAGAGAGAGAGAGAGAGAGCACAAGAGAGAGAGAAAGCATAGGAGGGGCAGAGAGAGGAGACAGAGAGTCCCAGGCAGGCTGTGCACTGTTGGCACAGAGCCTGATGCAAGGCTCCAACTCACAAACTGTGAGATCATGACCTGAGTCGAAATCCAAAGTCAAGACGCTTAACTGACTGAGCCACCCAGGTGCCCCTAGCTTCACTTATTTTTATACTCAAATACCCCAGAACATTCAGTTTCCAGAAATGTTACTGCAAACTTTTGGGGTGATATAAGACCTCATCTCTTTAAGAAAAACAATAACAGCAGCAACAGCAGCAACAAAACCCATCTCACACCATTTCAGTTTAATTCTATTGATACAAGTTCAGTTGTGTTCACACTACTGAGCACAATGTTCAACCGCCTTTCTTCAAGGCTCTCTGAAAGTCTACCTTCTGCAATCAACGCTTATGATTCCGTTTCTCACTGCTCAGCAGAAAATAGCTCAGAGTAAAGCTATTTGCTGCCACAAAATACTGAGTAATATATCTATCAAGCTTTCTGACTTACCCTGTAGAGAAGAGTCCAGAATGAGGAGCACTTAACAACTAAGCCTTTCCTTTAAACTACTTAAAGGGTCCATTTTTTGCTCTCTTTAGCAATTTGTGTGCATATCTGCATGAAGTTGAATGTGTACCTTTCTAGACCTCTTTGTCATCTTGGAAGTTATCCTGATATCCCTTTACCCATCCAGTTGTACCTCATTTTCTGGAAATTTACTCACACGGCCAAATGATGTATCCACAGACCAATTTGAAACTAGACCTTTTGCAAGCAAACTCCTACAAACTGTCATCAGTGTTAGCAGAACTTGAGCAAAGACCTCAACCCAACCATCCCTGCAGTAACTCCATCTTCAGGTGGAAAGAAAAGGTAAAACTTTAAGAGAATTGGTTGTAATTTCTCGACTGGGTTTGCTATTTGTAGTGGCTTCAAGTAGTATGGGGGCAAAAAGGCTATTATGAATTATATGTGCCATATGTCCCAAATCCCAATTGTGGAATTTTATGATAAATTTATTTTTTATTCCTTTTGGGTGCAGTAATAAGAATCAGTCACAAATGAATACATTTTTTGGTGGACTAAACATGAGCTAGTAATTCTTTGGATTCCTTCTTCTTCCTCCTCATATCTTAAATTTGTTCTTTGAACATGCTTTTCGAATAAAATTTCTATGTGCCTAAATTGTAAGATTTTGTGATATGCTCTAGTCCCATCCATTTCACGTAGTACATGCTGTAGATAAAGTGTGAGTATAATTTTTAAAATTCACACCTATGTATTTTCCCAGTGATACACTCTAAGAATTGATGATGAGCACCTGAATATACATAGGTCACTACACCTTGCAGCTCTTTTCCATTTTCTGTCAGAAGGAGGAGCTGTAACCATCTTGTGATAAAGGGACCTTTCTCTTTCCATGAAACTCAGAGCTCTAAAATGGTCTCAATCATGGCCGATTGAGTTATGGCAATTTCACTTGCATTAAAGCCAATTAAAGTTGAATTTATAGAAGTAATGCTTGAACGTTATTATTCGACCTTGAGGTGCACGTCAAAATTGCAAACACAGTGTATAAAATACAGTAATTGTCTAATCTGAAAATATTAAGGCTTTAGAAACAAGAAAACTTTACAGTAGAGATTTTTTTTTAAGTATTGAATAATTCATTTATACTCTCCTCCCAAAAGTTAAGAAAACCAAGTTCCTGAGGAAAACAGCTGTGGAAGAGTTACTTCTCATAAATATATTTTTTTAAGTTTTTAAAATGTTTTATTTATTTTTGAGAGAGAGATAGAGACAGCATGAGCAGGATTGGGTCAGAGAGAGAGAGGGAGACACAGAATCCAAAGACAGATTCCAGGCTCTGAGCTAGCTGTCAGCACAGAGCCCAACGCGGGGCTCGAACCCACGAACTGTGAGATCATGTCTTGAGCTGAGGTCGGACGCTTAGCCGACGGAGTCACCCAGGTGCCCCAGTTCTCATAAATACTTCTGATGACAGTGTTATTAAAAATGATTTTTTAAAACTATTTAAACAGCAACAGATACATAGTTATGTGAAAATATCTCGGCCTTTTCGGATGAAGGTGAGCAGGGCATCTTCTGCTGGGCAGAGACTCCCGAGTGCTTCATCTGCAGGTAATCCCATGCCCATGATAATTTGGGGGCGGGCTCTGTTGGTAAGGCGCATTGCTACATTTACATTTTATTTTCAGAATCCTTTGGGCCTACATCAGCGCAAAGAAATTTGCATTTCAGTTAGGACTGCTTCATTTGTTGGTCTTTGTAGCTTTCTGTGCAGATGTTATCCAAAATGTGGGAAGGAGTCAAAAAGTGGAGGGTTGAGGGAAAAATGTATGACCTGAGAAGGTACAGTATAGTTCAGCTCAGCGCCACACTATGCATCTTGCCTACTGACACAGCGTTATTAATTATTACCGGATCCAACTTTCAGCCTCCGGTGTGGCCCAGCTCGGCAGTGGTCTTTGCAAGGCTTTATATTCTTTTCAAGCCAGACAAGATGATGAATTAAATTTGGAAAAAGGTAAGAATCATTCTCAAATAGTTTGATTGCCTTCCAATTTAACTTGACTAAAACTCCTGTCTTTGTTACAACAGCCTGAAAAGTTACTTCAACGGCAAATCATTTCGGGTTTACAATGACCCTTCTTAGAAAATAAAGATAAATCACATCAAAAATCAAAGTCACATAATAAAAACAGCTAACATTTATTCAGTATTTACTAAGTTCTAGGCATTGCTACAAGCACATTGTCCCATTTAATATTCATAAAAGCCCTGTGAGGTAGATATTGTTATTTATTCCCATTTTATTGTCAAGGAGACTGAGGCAGAGAAAGGTTAAGCACTTTGGCTAAAGTTACAGGAAATGGTAGAGCATGCTTTGATCTCAGAAAGCCAGAATCATGCTTTTTATCACAGTGCTTACCTAGGATAGAATGTCAGTAATGGAAAGTTACTAGAAAGGTAGCCTCACCTTTTTCTTTTTCAGAAAACTAAACATACAGGAATGTGAAATGACTTCCTCTCATGGCTTAGGGTAAGCTTGAATTCTAGAAGCCAGGTCAGAGGACTTCCAGCTTTATGTTTCTCCCACTTATCCCTTAGAAAAGTGTTTTTACGGCCAATCTAAGGAAACGACCCCTTTCTTTGTGTCACAGAGTTTTGATGAACATGGAAAGGTATGATGTCATGGGTTATCTAGACCTCAGCATTAAATAAGAAATAGCCACTAGCCTCAATTTTCTCTGTGTGTCCAATTAGCAGCCAAATTTGGATGTTAAAGCTGCTGTAGTGATCTGGAAATGAAATGGTTAGTGAGAAAGAGTTGTGTCAGAGGAGAGAGCTGTTTATCTGCAGGCAGGACATGGTGCCCAGAGCCAACAGGAAGTCATGATGGATTTTGCAGCCATACCACAGGGACACCATGTATTTGCTATTGGTTAATGGGTGCTTCCTTTTCAGATTGTCAGTCAGATTTCTTCCAGCGACTACTTTCCCTTCCAGTTCAGAAAGAAATAAAGATAAGAAAAAAGGAAATATAGTAGACCCCCTCCTCTGTTCATCTTAAATCAATGTTGCCTTTACCTAAAAGTTGGAAGTGTTAGAGAAGTCACTTTGTTCTTCATCACGTCATCTCAAGGTTACCTACAGCAATAAGTAAATGAAACGCTGTATTCCCACTTTCCTTGTGAATAAAAAACACATTTCTCTCAGATGCCACCTAGACCCCAAGGCTTGAGTTTGAGTTACATAGTTACACAATAAACTTATTATCTTCTTTGTCTTCAGTTTCTGTTGGCAGCAAAGTCTATTTATACTTTATCTCATAAGTGGGTTATTTATTTATTAAAATATTTTTAAATGCTTAATTATTTTTGAGAGAGAGAGAGAGAGAGACAGAGTGTGAGCAGGGGAGGGGTAGAGAGAAAGTGAGACACAGAATCCAAAGCAGGCTCCAGGCTCTGAGCTGTCAGCATGGAGCCCAACATAGAGCTCAAACTCACAACAGTGAGATCATGACCTGAATGGCAGATGGACACTCAACTGACTGAGTCACCCAGGTGCCCCTATAAGTGGGTTCTTTAAATAAAAGGAGCCATTGGAGGCTCAGGGAAGCTAGCAACAAGATTTTAAAGTATTTGTTTAAATTCCTATTAGTGAACTGTGTCAATCCGCTGACTTGAGAGAACTCATTGGAGGTGGAAATTAGGCTGAGAATGATCTCCTGCAAGAATAAAAAAAGTGATTTATGAGTGACATGAGATAGTAGGGGTAGATGTGGACAGTCTCTTTTGCCTAAGAAAGTAAAGCACTGGGGAAGAAAATGAATGAAAGAAAGACTAAACAATGACCTCAGAAGGATGCTCAAAGTTAAGGAGCTCTCTTGGATCCTGAAGGAAGTGGATGTGTCTGCTCTGATGTGCAGAAAGCAGCCAGAGAGGAAGGACTCTTTCTCATAAGGGAAGGATTTAGCCAGAGTATTTGGGGCATCTATGGTTAAGTTTAGGGTTATTAATATCAGAATAGTATGTGTTAAAAGAGAGAGAATTAGAGATGGGCCGTGTGTTTCTTGGGAATTCTATTTATTTGAATCATTGACAGTTTAAAAAGTATTGTCTTCAAACTGATATTTTATTAAAGTTATCAAAAATGTTGAATGGGGAGTTATATTTCTGTGCAAAGTTTTGAGTTGGAACTTTGGACTGTGAAATTGGCACATGTAATGGAGGGAAGCTATCTTGATCTAAGGAAAAGTCTGGTAGCTGAGATATAATAGTCACCATAGCAGACTGTCTCGGCCACCAACATGAGAAATCCTTAACACACAGACACCAAAAAAAGAGTTTGATGACAAGCTGTATCTGAAATGAGCCATCCACCATGAGAAGGATATATGATCCAACCTGGTTTCTTTTTTTTTTTTTAATTGATGTTTATTTATTTTTGACAGAGAGAGAGAGCAAGCAGGAGAGGGGCGGAAAGAGGGGGAGACACAGAATCCAAAGCAGGCCCCAGGCTCTGAGCTGTCAGCACAGAGCCTGATGTGGGGTTCAAACCCAGGAACCGCGAGGTCATGGCCTAAGCTGAACTCGGACGCTTAAGCAACTGAGCCACCCTAGCGCCCCAGTGCCATTTTGTTTTTAACGAAACTATTTTATGACATAACTTGGTTGCTCATTATCTTATTCTTTTTAATATTCTCTGCATTATGCCTGTTTCACACAGAGGTGTTCAATAAGTTTGGCTTTATCTCAATCATGTGCAGAGACTGATGCTAACAAGTGACTCCTTGAAAGCAGAATCTCCTTAAAATTGTTTTATCAACTGGGCTCAGGTTTGTGCTTAAATGGCAGAGACCCATTTGTCTAACTGAATGTGCATTTTTACAGGTGACATTGTGACTATATACAAGAAAGAGGAAGAAGGATGGTGGTTTGGTTCTTTGAATGGAAAAAAAGGCCATTTTCCTGCTGCTTATGTGGAGGAGCTCCCTTCAAATGCCGGGAACCCAGCTACACAGGCATAAAACAAGATTCTGAACATACTACCTTACTCTGTAAACTACACAATGTAGTGCAAATAAAGATAAATGCTGTCATCTTTACAAGTAGCTAATGGAGTCCTACCTGTGTGTCACGGCACTTTGCACTCTTGCTCATTTGCTTGAAACAGAGTTAGAAGATGGAGAGCAAAGGGAGAAAAGAAAGAGACCCCGCAGTTCCTAGAGTTTTCAAATCCTAGCAGACCCTAGAGATGCCCCAATGCAGCCCCTGGTGTCACCCAGAGGGAGACAGAGTTCAGATCATTCAGCCACTTGCCTGAAGTCACATAGTTTTCTGGTAGCACAACGGAGATTATGCCTTGGATGTTTTTTTCATCTGGACTGTGTGCCCACAGACCAGAGCAGGCCTGTGAGGGGTCAGGCAGTGTCTGGGAGACGAGGAAGAACAGATTAAGTTCAGCAGAGTCTTGGCAGATAAGACCCCAGGGAGATAGACCCAGGTTAGGAGAGGGTAGAATAAAGGATCAGTTGAGGCCAAGCATCCCTACGATCAGGAGAGGGGATGGTGGACAAGAGGTCTGATACGAGGTAGAGGAGCTCAGTGTAGAATGGAGCTCCATCCTGAGCTAACAACCTTCTGAGGTAAGGGCTTCTTCTAAGCCCTCTCCGCACAACCAGAACTGCTCTTAGCAGGGAAGTCGGGTGTGAGCCAGAGAAGGCTTGGGATCTGAAAGCAAGAGCAAGGTGGATAGGAAAGCGTTGAGAAAGAGACAGTGTCTGAAATCTCTTGCCTCCTTCTACATTTGGAAATTTCATATGCCAATTTAGAGGTATGATACTTGCACTTCCCAATTAGTATGAAAAGCATACCCTCAGCAGCTTCCTCATGAAAGGAACCTTAAACGTTAATGAATCTCTCTGGATGGAAAGTTCTGGAAACCAACATTTACTGTTAAAATGGAATTTTTAGAGAGAAGCAGCTTTATGCTCCTTCCCCAAATGACCTTTAATGGGTAAATTCTTCCCAAGAGGAACATTTTAGAATGGAGAGAAGTGGTATAGCAGCACCTTCCAGAAAATGGCCTGGAGATTACACTTTATTAAATGGAAGATCATAGTGTTGATAGAAACATCTGGGCATGTTTACTTTGTGCCTAATAGTACATTAGAGTAATTAAAATCCATTCCATTACTGTCCTGCCACCTACATCTTTTTATTTATTAAATTTTATACTTTTGAAAAGGAATTTTTCAAACCAAGGTACATGCATTTTTTATACTCTGCACCACTGCAAGCCTATGGCAGGATATAACGAACACAAAGAGATATTTATAGATAGAGATACCAGACCTGAAGGAGCTCATGTAAAATTTGTTATGTGAGACATAACTTACAGCCTAGAAGAGCAGATCAGAAGTTTTAATGTCATCCTTAATGGTGTACTAATGAAGGCTTTCTACATGTAGAAAGTTGGCTGAATAATAGGCCATTAGACCATGAAGAGAAAATTTGAATTTATATTTCCTCTTCATCTTACTTCTTTCCATTAAGCCTTGATGTATAAAAAATTGTGTAGCAATTGACTGCAGCCTACAATGGATCATTTGTGTAGAGAAAGTGATGATAATAGTGGTTGGGCCCTGAAACTCACTGGAAGTAATTTTCAAAGAAAGACGCCCCTCTTTCTTCATAAATCAGCTTTACTTTGTGAAACCATAAATGATTTTCCTGTTTTGCAACGTTGCTGAAAATTCTTTTTGCATCTGTGACATATAATTTTTAAACCTCAAAGAAATACCATAGGCAAACTGCGTATACAAATAGAGTTGGGCAGGATAGACTTGCTCAATATCTTTTTAGTAGGGCAAGAATTTTCTGATTGGACAGGCAGGAATGGTAGCCCTTATGTCTAGATAAAAATTAAGTGTATATTGTGAAGGTTAATGATGTGCACAAGTCTTCCATACAGAATAAAATAACTTTTAATATTAATGCTTTTAAACTCTTTATTGGGCTTTCATTATTACACTCCACTATGCAGCCCCATGTCTCAGGAAGTTCTTAGCAACATTAACATCCTGAAATATAGGCAGTAGAGGCCTGAGCCAGATTTTCACTGAAAATATCAGGAGGCATTTTTCTACTTTATCTTCTTTCTAGTCATATGCAAACTGATACATCCGTCGTGCTATCAACCAGAAAGATGTATTAATTTCATTTTTTTGCATTTTCGATTACCCGTAATAATTAATATTTATAATGACAAAAAGCACTTTAATCACTTAAAGTGCCTTCCAATCTATCAAAAAGTAATATCCAGTTTAGGGTAAAGTAAATTTTATTGCACAGTATTATAAGGCTGTAACTGATCAGTAATTGGAGCAGAGTGTAACTTTGTTCTCCTCCGCCCCACCCCTCCTAAAGTCTTAATGGCCTTAGGGTGTAATCAGCCTGACCTAGAGGAAGAAAAGTGCATTAGGTTCAAATAACACGTCCTGCCGTTCTCTGCAGCATTACACTGGAAGAGGGTATAATCATTCCCGGGGAAGATACACCTGGAGGTGGGGGCAGGGGGCTAGGAGCCGGGGGGGGAGCTCCGGGCTTGGACCAGAGTTGGGGACACAGCAGAGAAGAGCAGGAATCTTGCAGAGGCAGTGCGGCTACTCGGATAGAGCTTCGAGGATAGTGTCAGCGATTCTGGAAAGCTGTGATCCAGCGTGCAGGGCCCTGCCGAGCGGGGGATCCCAGGCCTCCCGCTCCCAGTCACAAACCCCACGCACGGTCAATCGCCAAGGCAGAGAATCCAGGTTGTAGAGCCCGGAGCTCAGTTTAGAGGAACCAGGTGGACGTGTGGGTGCCTGCAGCTGAGGAAACGTGCCTAAGCGGGAGAGCCTGGTGGCCATCCCCTGGGGGGTGGGTCACGGCAAAGGGGGGACTGAAGCAGCATCTGCCAGCCCGGCGGAGTTTGAAGTAAACAGACTTGCACAGAATTCGAGTGAAACGCTTTCTCGGAGGAACTACGGGGTAAGGCGAGGCCGACCTGGGAGTGGAAGCACACCGAACCGGCCAGAGAAGGACCTTGGCTCCACGGCTCAGGACTAAGGATAGAGATCTGGGGACAACAAAGGGAGTCACACCAGGGAGTGCCTGGAAAGCACTGGAACCTGCCTCGCCGGATATATGAGGTGGCAAATGGGTTACTGATCTCAGACTCAGCTGACTTGTAATTTGGGGTTTTCTGACACTGGGGCAAAAGGCTCAGTGCTTGCTCCAGCGATTTCCGAGTGTGGTGCTGGGACCGGCTGCACCCATATAACCTTGGACTAAGTTAGAAATGCAGAATGTGGGGCGCCTGGATGGCTCAGTCGGCTGAGCGTCCGACTTCCGCTCAGGTCATGATCTCGCAGTTCGTGAGTTCCAGCCGCGCATCAGGCCCTGTCCTGCAGCTCAGAGCCTGGAGCCTGCTTTGGTTTCTGTGTCGCTCCCTCTCTCTGCCCCTCCCCTGCTTGCGCTCTGTCTCTCTCCGTCTCTCCAAAATAAATAAACTTAAAAAAAAAAAATCCAAAATGTCAACTCCTACCTTACACTCCGTCAGAAACCCAGCCATCTGTGGTTTAGCGAGCACTCCAGGTGCTTCTAACGCAAGATGAAGCTTGAGAACCACTGATTTGAATGATTGCTGAGAATAGTGTCTGAACTATATCACACACCGCGGAAGGAGTACTGTTGGAGAAAGTGGAGAAATCCCACGTACCCAGGGAGTCAGCTCTAAAAAAAGAAGTATCCCCTCCTTTTGATCCAATAAGTTATTTCCATTTTTTTATAAAGGATCTTTTTTTAAAAAATTTAATGTTTTATTTATTTTTGAGAAAGAGATAGAGACAGCATGAGCAGGGGAGGGTCAAAGAGAGAGGGAGACACAGAATCCAAAGACAGGCTCCAGGCTCTGAGCTAGCTGTCAGCAGAGGGGCTCAAACCCACAAACCGTGAGATCATGATCTGAGCTGAAGTCATACGCTTAACCCACTGAGCCACCCAGGCGTCCCTGATCCAATAAGTTTTTAAAGACAAATGGTGTTAGGGACTTTGTCAAGAGGTCTTTCTCCATTGTGGGGGCTGCCCCTTTTCCTCTTCTTTCTCATGCTCACTCTTGGCTAATGGAAGAAGGAACACTTTGGACTACATGACACTTTCTCAAGAGAGACTCTTCTTCCTCTTTCTCAGTCACTTACTTGATATTCTTGTTGGCAGAAGAAAGCCTGGTATGGCCCCTATCTTGATACCAGAGAATGCGAAGCAAACAGCTCTCCCCTCACAGTCCATTCGCCTCTACTCCCCACCCCACCACCCAGGCTCGAAGAGTAGGTAATCCTCCTTCTGACTTAGGATCGAAAGTCAATAGTAGCCTAACACTATGCCACCAATGCCTACGTCATTCATCTCACTGTCTCACCATGTAGGCATTTTATCATCTCACATCACAAGACGGGTAAGTATAGTACAATAAATACAGTACAATTGATAATGCACTAGGCCATAGAACAGTCTGACCACAATATAAGTTAGAAATTACTAAGAAAAGAATAATTTAAAAACCACATGCACTTGGAGAACACATACATATGTGCACCTGCATGCACATAAGCACATGTATGCATGCACACACACAAACTTCTAAATAACCCATGGTCAAGAAGAAACCTTAATAGAAATTAGAAAATATTAGAAATAAAAAATAGGAAAGCTACTAAATATTAAAACCTGCAGGTCTGGGAAAGCAGCTAAAAAACATGTTATAGGGAAAAGTAGAAAGGCTAAAATTAATGAACTAAGTATCGTCAGTATGGATTTATATAAACAACAGCAGAAACAACCCAAATAAAGAAAAGGAAATAAAAAGAAAAGAAAGAGCAAAAGTTAATGAAATATAAAACAAAATAAAATATCGAATAAAGCTGTTGATTGGTTCTTTGAAGGGATTAATAAATTGAGCAAATCTTTGGCAAAATTCAGAGAAAAGAGCATAAAAATATTATTTATAAGGCAAAAGTGGACATACTACAGCTGTAGCAGATATATAAAAGCTAAAATCATATACTATCAA